TCAGATTACTGTAGTTTGTTCAGTCAAACATTTTATGGCTTACTATTTAGTTATCTTACCATTACTGATGTAACATCGTATGTACATCATAAATTCCTAGTTTCTTTCTTGCTGTACATCGCAACCAAAAAAACACTTGTCAAATTAACCAAATCATTACTGTAAACAGTTCCATGAATGCTCCTATCTCCGAGACTTTTAGTTCACAAAAATAACTCTTGCACGCCTTGCGTGCCTATGTTTTAACAGTGGAGCAGTGAAAATAAAATAAACATCGACTGAAATAAACCTTGCCGCAAACACTATTTACATGTATCTTCTGGTAAACAGGTAAGCTTAATGTCAGCAAGAATACAAAAAAACCTTAAGCATACATGTGGCATGATGTGGACTTCTGGATTGAACTGTGAGAGTTTCGATAGAGTCAAACTTTCGAGGCTTCAAATATGTCAATTGCAATTACAACAAATATTTGAGCCATTGAAATGGCTAGTGGCAATGTTGTGTACTAACAAAGCGTTTTCCGTGATGGAATCCTTGATTTGTGAATACACTGACTCAATAAATATCGTGTGTCAGGGTTAACTTCTTGTTTAGACTCAGCGTTAGACACGTAGGCCGGGTGAACACGCAGGTTCGGTTGTTGAAATTCTTGATTTGTTTGACATGTAGGCTGAGTAAACACTCGTTGATTCCACGCGTCAAACCGAACAAATTATCAGCGAATTCTAGGCAATTTTCACAGTTCAATTTAATACTCAAAGTAGAAACAAGTAACGATTAAGGTTAATGCAGCAAAACGACCTTCTAAAATATCTTACCTTCTGTTCGTCTACTGAACACGTTGCTACGAACAACCAAGAATATTCACAGCACTACACTACTACTCTTCGATGCACAGTACTTCCCAGAATCTTTCGAGTGATCCGAGTAAAATTGCAGTAATTTTACTCGTGTTAAACTCATGTCATCGTACCTGTGCTTCCAAAAATAGTTCCAGCTGTGACGTGCATTTCATTGTGAATCAAATTTGTCGATTTGCCTCGATGATGAAAAATTAAAGCAACGCCAGGTAAACCTTACCGTGGACCTGCCACAGGCATCCCACGGAAAAAGAGCATCACTTACTTCAAGCATTCAAGTACTGAAGAACAACATGGCCGATCGATTCAAGCCACCATCTTTGGACTGGAGCACTCCAGGAGTTATTCAAAAGAGTTTCAAACTGTTCAAACAGAAATGCGAACTCATCTTGGCTGGGCTGCTCGACAAAGTCCAGGGGTCGAAGAAGACGAGATTGCTGCTGTCATGGATTGGCGATATAGGCCTCGAAATCTATAATACGACCACGTGGGCCAACAATGGCGACAACCTCAAGATCGTTCCAGTTACGGCGGCGCTAGAAGTTTATACAATGCCTCAAAGCAATCATATCCTCGCTAGGTACCAATTTCTATCCCTAAAGCAGGGAAATACACAATTTGAGGAATTCGTAACTAAAGCGCGACTATTAATAGAAGAAGGCAGATACCATGGCGGTATTTGGCGTCGCTTCAGATAAAGCATGCAAAGACACGATAGCATTTGATAACGGGCTAACATTCAAGCAAGCCTAGCCTGCGACCTCACGAAGGTCGAGGACAGCACAAATAAAGATAATTTCCAAAGGTGAGGAGAAATCGGATCTCCACACAGTTCAACGAAAATCCGGATACTCCACCCAAAAATCTCTACTGATACAGAACTTCAAGCACCAAACTTCCTACGGCGACCAAACTAAAGAGATTCAACCGGAAGAAAACCTCGCCGACTTCAGCTCAAGTGAAAAGGCTGCGTCGGATGCGGAAAAGCCCATGATGGATCACCAAGTTGCTTTGCCAAAACTTCAAAATGAAAGCACAGCGGCAAGGTAAAAACAAAATGTTCAGTCTGCAGACAGAGCTTATCCTGGTTTCTGTAGATATGAAGCGACTAATAGTTTTTCTATTCCCCACTGGATGTGATGCTAGTCCATCACAGGGTTTATAATATAAGCCAAGAAATTTTGGAGATTTGATTGGTTGATAGCATCACTATTTCCACGTAATAGCGGTATAACATCAAAAGATGAATGTTATAACAAGGCTGCCACGGCAACACTAAACACTATCATCATCATTAATCCTTATTGCCCCCAGTGGGGCATGAGGCCGTGCTAAACGCAATAACGTTTTGCTCTTGTTTAAAAAAAATGGCGGCAAGATTCTCGGAAATTTCCGGGAAGGAAATACAAAAGCTCGCCGAAAAGCAGTAAACAAAAATACAGTCAAAACTACTAACACGTGGATGAATGTTTGGAAGTCGTGGGCAGAAAGCAATGGTCTTGACGATGACATTTCCAAATACGAAGCTAAAGAACTGGAACAATGTCTCTCACGATTTTTTGCCCAAATTCGCAAAAGCGATGGCTCCGATTATGAGCCGGACAATCTAAGGGTTATGTTAGCTGCCCTAAAAAAATGACAGCAAAATATCCATAGCGAAGGACCGAGAACTCGTCAAGTGCAGACGGGTCCTGGAGGAAAAAGCAAGAGCTCTTCGCGAAAAAGGCTACGGAAAACAACCAAATACAACGAAAGCACTTACAGTCCAAGATGAAGAGCAGCCATGGAAAAAATCGTTTACTTGGCGAACAGACTCTAAAGTCACTCCTTTATACTCTGTGGAATCTGCTCACCCTTCAATTTGGTCTTTGTGGTGAAGAAGAAGAAATACAAAACAGTGGTCCGTTTTATCGCGCCATTATTGAAAATCCGAAATCCGAAGTGTGGTACAAGAAACAGAGGATGGGTCTTAATAAGATCGAATCCTTCATGAAAAATATGGCCTTGGAAGCGGAATTGAATTTAGACGGAAGAAAGTTAATCAACCATTCGGTACAAAAAGCGCTAGTGAAGTCGAATCAGCCAAGAAGTGCTATCATCGGTGTACCAGGGCGCAAAAGCGAGCGTTCACTGGCAGATTACAAGGAAGGTGACGAAGCACAACAGCGACAGATTTTATCCATCATCAGCTCTCCTGTCAGCCAACAGGCTCAGAATTCCCGTCCAGTTCTTTCCAGTTTGCCCATTCAGTACAATCCTACAGCGACTCCAGCCAGTCAAACAGTAGTCCATCACTTTCATAGCTGTCAGGTGACGATTAATTACGGAG